CTCTCCCCTCTCCCCCTCACCCTTCCCACCCTCCTTATCCGCCCTATCCTCCCTACACTCCCCACCCGGCACCCCCCTCACTGCTCCTCTGACTCCCGTTAGGAACAGCCCCGGTGCCCGAGGTGGGGCTGGCAAAGGGAAAGCTGGTGCGGCCACGTCTGGTTTCTGGGTCCTTCAGCTGCAAGAGGCCGTGCCCTCCGCAGCTCCCCTCCGACCCCTCCTCTGGCATCCTTTTTGGGGGTAGGCAACAGCCAACTCATTTCCTGGCATCGTAGATGCTGAAGGTCAGAGGGCAGCGGTTTGCCTGGACGGTGCGAAGGGAAGGCTGAGCCTGGCCCCTGGACAGGAGTCGGGGAGCTGCTCTGCCTGGAGTTTACATGCCTGTTTCTCTGAGGCAGGGCCTGCATCCTCAGTGCCGGGGGCGTCCCCATCACCCGGTGCAGAGCGAGGGCTCCTCAGCCACGTGTGGCGGGTTCAGCAGCACCGTTCTCTCGCTGGGGGGGGTGGGAGGGCCTGGAGAGCAGCAGCACCTCCGTGCCTTGTCCCGTGGCTGCAGCCTCTCCGGGGACTGGAATGTCTTGTAGGGAAGGGCCTCCTAGGATGGCTTAGCCCCTTCTGCTTTCTCAGGCTCCGAGTGGGGCTTCTGAGGTCCGGTGGGTGGGGTTGCACTTGGATTCGCTGAGATTGACAGTCAAGTTTAAAAGCGTGACGTCCCTGCCTGGGGCCGGTCCCATGCCTGATTGTGTGTCGTTAATCCTTGTGTATCTACAAAGACCATGACCCGGGTGCCACCTGGTAACGGCCTAGCAGGCCCTGGGGACGAAGACCACAAAGTTGGAGGCGCACACTGGGTGCCCAGTAAACGGGCAAAGACATCAAATCAGCTCGGTTAGCTTAACTCCTAACGACCGTGACGCTCAGAGAGAGCGGGTGGGTACCGGTCACCAGGAACGATGGAGAAATAAGGACCACAGACATGGAGATGTGAGAATCATGGCACTGACCGTCCAGTTAGAGCTGCTCAGACGTGCGACGGCCGGGCCGGGCGTTTGCACCCGGAGCCAGAGGCAGAGGCGCAGGTTGCTGCCAGGGCTGCTGGGGGACTCCCGCAGCAGGCAGGAGGGTGGATCCCCTGACCACCGAGGCCCCTCTGAGCTGCTCTGAGCTGCAGGCGCGTAGGATAGAGCAGTTCAGCCAGCACCGCCCGCAGGCCCCAGGCTGCCTCCCCAGTGTTAGGTGTTTGTCCTGCCGTACGCAGCCTCGGGGACGGAAATTGGTCGTGTTTAATGGCAGCATCTTCTGCTTCGTAGTCACTTCCCGCCCAGCCTGTGGGAGTGGGGCCGCTGGAGGCATGGACAGCAGCATGCTCACTCCTTGCCGTGCAGAAAGGATGTTTAGAAACAGGATTCAGTGGGAATTCACTTCCTATTTTGTTCCGTGAACAATTACAGGAAGTCCTTTATTTGGGGATGCACTGTCTGTCTAATTAAGTTGTATTTTTTAAAAGATTCTCCTCCTTCCTCACCCTGGTCAGGTGTGTTGTGATCATTCGACAAATAACACAGGTGCATAGAAAGGGCACAAGACAGCTCAGAATTTACACTCATACACACCGAGGTCTACACGAAGTGGCCAGTGCCGCAGACAGTCTGGGAATGATGTCGTATTTAGGTTTCATGGATCCAGAAGTCACACTAAGAATCAGTGAGCTGTTATTATAAAAAGGCAGATGTGCCCTGGCTGGTTCGGCTCAGTGGATAGAACATCGGCCTGTGGACTGAAGGGTCCCAGGTTTGATTCCGGTCAAGGGCACATGCCCAGGTTGTGGGCACATCCCCAGTAGGGGGTGTGCAGGAGGCAGCTGCTCAATGATTCTCTCTCATCATTGATGTTTCTATTTCTCCCTCTCTCTCCCTTCCTTTCTGAAATCAATAAAAAAAATATTTTAAATAACAATAAAAATAAAAAGGCAGATGTGGGATCGGCTTCAGAAATAAATACCCGAGCTCTAGCTGGTTTGGCTCACTGGATAGAGCATCAGCCTGCAGACTAAAGGGTGGCAGGTTCGATTCCCGTCAAGGGCACATGCCTAGGTTGTGGGCTTGATCCCCAATAGAGGGCGTGCAGGAGGCAGCCAATCAATGATTCTCTCTCATCGTTGATGTTTCTATCTCTTCTTTCCTCTCTGAAATCAATAAAAATATATTTTTAAAAATCTATATATATATAAAACCCTAATATGCAAATAGACCAAACAGCCAAACAACCGGTCACTATGACATGTGCTGACCACCAGGGGGTATGCGCAGAACACAGCGGGCATTGGCAGCAGGCAGCAGAGGGCGGAACTTGGTGGGAGTTGGCCGCAGCGGGATGGTAGAACAGGTGAGCTGGGGTGCGAGACCAAGGCGGGGCGTTGGTCACTGTCATTGGGGTGAGCCTCTGGTGGTTACTGAAAATTCTTTGCTCCTGCGCACCACGGTCCCACCCAGCGCTCACACCTGCTACTGCCGCTCACACCCACTGCTGGCGCCTGGCGCTGGCACCAATTGCTCAGCAATGTCGGTGGGTGCGAGTGGTGGCTGCTGGCCCTGGTCGCCCCTCAGGGCTTCTCCACCTGCCCCTGCTCCTGAGGGACGATCAGGGCCAGCAGCCGCCACTCGTACCCGCTGACACCCCCAGAGCCACTGCTCACACCCACTGCTGGCGCCGGCCCCACTCGCTCCTGATGCTGGTGCCGGCCCCAATCGCTCCGCGCTGTCAGCGCATGGGAGTGGGGGCAGCTGGAGTGGGGCTGCCGGCAGACAGGGGACCAGGGGCCAAGGCAGGAGGGGCCAGGCAGGGGCTCAAAGGATGGGCCGAGACCCGCCCCTGCGCCCAGTGCACTCACAGCCCACAGGTCCTTTCAAGGGGCACGAATTCATGCACTGGGTCCCTAGCAAATAAGTAAATATCTGAGACTGCGACAGTGGGATGAACAGCTTTAAAAAGCCTGCTCCTGGCTTCATGCCGCGCATGTCTGTGACCCTGTGCCACGTGCTGGCTGTACAGGGCCACGAGGAAGGGCTGCCCAGGGCCAGGGAGGCCCTCAGGTGGAGCGGCCTGCAGGACAGGCCCCTCTGGGGAGGTGGCCTTTGACCTGAAGGTTGAAAATGAACCAGAGTTCCAGGAGAGGGACCCGTGCAGCGGTCCTGGGGCAGGGGTGTGCGGGAGTGTGCAAGGGGCAAACAGGCCTACAGAGCCAGACAGAGTGAGGGGCGGCGGGACAGGTGGAGCCGGGGAGACAGTGAGGGGAGATGGGACAGGTGGAGTTGGAGAGACAGAGGGGAGGCGGGACAGGTGGAGTTGGGGAGACAGAGGGGAGGCGGGACAGGTGGAGTTGGGGAGACAGAGGGGAGATGGGACAGGTGGAGTTGGGGATACAGAGGGGAGGTAGGACAGGTGGAGTTGGGGAGACAGAGGGGAGGCGGGACTGGTGGAGTTGGGGAGACTGAGGGGAGATGGGACAGGTGGAGTTGGGGAGACAGAGGGGAGGCGGGACTGGTGGAGTTGGGGAGACTGAGGGGAGATGGGACAGGTGGAGTTGGGGAGACAGAGGGGAGGCGGGACAGGTGGAGTTGGGGAGACAGTGAGGGGAGGTGGGACAGGTGGAGTTGGGGAGACAGCCCCAGGTCTGCCCTCCAGGGCTGGGGGCGGTCAGTGAGCGCGTCTCTAAGGGGATGTGAGCCTCTCCCTCCAGGAGGCTGGGACATGTGCAGACTGGCCTTGAGCAGCCGTGGGCCTGTGGGTGAAGCGCCCCCTGCCTGACTTCTGACCCTGGTTCTAGCAACACCACGTTTCCAAGGTGACCATAATCAGTTCCTCTTCCGAATGCCCACAGAGATGACGAGGCCTGGCGGGACCAGCCAGACTCGGTTTGTTTTTGCCGGAAGGGGAAGTGGGTCAGGCTGTTTGGCATTTCAGGCGTGGAGTCCTGGTTCTATTGCAGGCCCTGGTCTCCATGGAAATGAAAACTAGTGTTTGTCATGCCTGTTCCTGGACTGAATTCCAAACTCTGGGCTGCACAGAAGTGGCAGGAAAGCCGGGGAGAGGGGTGGGACGGAGGCGGCCCTGCCGTTGGAGGGGAGCCCTTCTCGGGTGAGTGGGGACAGCAACTGAGTGCCCGGCCCGGCCTCCCCGGCACCCCGGGCCGCCCACCCGCACCAGGGGAGCGGGAGTTCTGCTCCTCTCACTCGGCCAGGGCTCTGTGGGCCTTGCCCGTATGGTAGCTGGTCATAACTTTACCAACAACCGATGCCACGGCTGGGGCTTCCCCCACCACCAGGAATTCATTCCGGCGTAAGTGGGTCCCTAATCAGCTGGACACAGTTCCTGGTGGGCTCTGCCACCTCCCATTCCCCTGCAAGATTTAAAAAGTGTTGGACTTTCCATAGACACTCGAACGGGAAGGAGAAGTGGGTGAGGAGCTTGCTGCTCACGGGAATGCCCTTCACAGTGTTTACAGAGATGGCGCCAGCGAGGGACGGAGCCTGAGAGTGGGCGGCCTGGCCAGTGGGCCTGTGGCCGATGTCCGGTGGCCTGTGGCCGGTTAGTGAGCTGGAGAGCTGCCGGGGGCGGAACTAGCGTGAGTCCTGGTTCCACCTTCTTGGTTCCAAATTCCAGGGCAGAGGGACCGGTCCCAGAACCGAGTGCACTTTACCCAGAGGCCACTGGGAGAGCCCCGGGCAGTGTCCGCAAGTTCCCCAAACGGAGCACAGGACGTTCCTCTGCCCATCATGCTTGCGGGGCAGTTGAAGGAGGCCGTTCTGTGCCCAGCTCTGCGGCGGGCACGGTGTGAGCTGCGGTAGGCGAGGCGTCATCTCAGGAGCGCCTGCCCGGCTGAGAAGCACCTGCTGCGGCCTCCGGCCCCACCAGCGCCGCCAACTTCGGAAGCGTGCAGTGCTCCTTAGTCAGGGCCCGGCCTCTTCCCCTTCGCTTGTCAGAGAGAAAAGTGACAACAGCCAACACAACAGCCGCCTGGTGTGAATGAATCAAAAATGTACCTTTTTTGGTCAGATCGACGAGAAGTCTCCTTTCTGTGCCGCGGAATTTCGGTAGCCGGTTTATGAGCCCCGAGGTGGGAAAGGCTGAAGATGGCTGCTCTGCGCCGTTAAATAAAAGCAACAACAAAAAGCCTTGTCCTGGCAGCCAGGTGGCCGCGTGCGACACCGAACTGTCTCCCTCCAAGGACGGGCCCCAGCGGTGGCGCTGCCGCCGGTTGGCTCCCGGGCGAGGGGGGTGATGGCGGAGTGGGTGCCACGCGTGGTCCCGGGAGCTCCTCTCAGGGGAGCAGTAGTACATTTCTCACCCTTTCGAGCCCAACCCCATCCAACACCCTAAAAAGTGGGGGAGCACTGAGACTTGCCTGTGCAGCTGCCTGTGAACCCTGGGGGCAGCCCTGCCCCCTCTCTGGACGGCCCCCCACTCCCTCTGCACTGTGCTCTCCCGGGTCCCTGGGGTCCCTGCGGCAGCGGCTTGACTTTCGTGGGTAAAGGGGCCCAAGACCCAGAGGTCCCGGCCGTTACGGCAGCAGGGAGCGGCCCTGGCAGGTGTTTCTATTAGGTGGCTGGGTGGT